TGATACTCTTTATGAACCAGTCATAACAACTTTATAAAAATATTATTGTTTATAAATATGACTGTATTAGATATTCCATAAATCCCGTTAACGAAATCACAAAAATGAGCGAATCAAACACTATTGCTTGTAAAATAAGCAAGTCTGGAACTATTGGTTGTAATTTCAAAACATAATTTAACACTTTAATGAATTTTTAAACCCTTAATATATTATTTAATCTAAGATTCTACAACTTATATTTTGAAACATTTCCCTCACATTTAGGCGATTTAGAGTACTTTCGTTCCTGGGTTCAGCAGAATTTATGACAAAATAAGATGACTTTAAGCCTTTTGCATACTCAAAGCATAAAAAAGGTTGATGAACTTACGTGGAAGCTCCTTAACTTAGATATTAAAGAATCAATGATCGGTTTTTTAAGTTAAGTGTGTGAGTCTGTTTCAGAAGTTTTTTAGATCTAAAGAATTATTTTTAATTAAAACTTTATTTATTGAAAATTAATTTTAAATAAAACGTTATAGCAAAAAAAACATGGTGTTAGAATCATATTTGGAGTTGGTAGAGCGATTCCTTGTGAACCTCTTTTACGTACAGCTGGTGCCTTGAATATTTTCAAAATTAATATCCATCTTGTTCTACAGTTCATGTATAAAACAAATTATAAACTGTCCCCAAAAATCTTTGAAACTTATCTGATAATATGAATACGCTAATTTAATATTATTATTATTATTAGTCGAGTTACGTCATTTTCTAGGCTTTTCTATTTTAAAGTAGTTTTTAGGCTTTTTTATAAGCGTTTTTTTTTTTTTAAATTTTATTTACTAGCAACGCGTATTACGGGTTGCTTACTGTTAGTTTTAAAGAAATACACCATAAATATGCTACAAGATTTTCCGCAAACCACTTTGCTATTCCAAAATCTCATTCAAAACAGAATTCTTATTCAATTCAGAATCGCGGACCACTTTTGTGGAAAACGATTCCCAAACATTGTTTCCGAAAAGAAAACTTCTCTATATCAGTTCAAAACTGATTCAAAACAGTTTTTATTAAACACAGATTTTGATTTATTTTATTATAAGTGTGTGTATGTGTATATGTATATGTGTATATGTGTATGTGCGTATGTGTGTGTGTATGTATGTATATATATGTATTTATATATGTGTGTTTGTGTGTGTTTATATATATGGGTATATGTTCGCTTATATGTGTAAGTGTGCGAATGTGTGTATAAATTTATATATATTCATTTTTACTTTTATTTTGTCTATTTATGATATTATGTAATAAACAATATCTTATTTTATTTTTTGAATTCTTGTAAACATTTATTCAATTTTTCTTATATACTATATATTCTTCAATAACTTTGTAAAAAATTATAAATTGTAACACGGTGCTCCGCGATAAGGCAAATTAATGCCTTCTTATTGCTCCGGCCATTAACTTAATTGTAAACTTTTGTAAAATGTAGTACTTATTAAACGGCAAAAATATAATGTTAAAAAAAAAAAAATTATTGAACAGTTTGAAGAACGTGTTCTATTATGATTTGAAGTTGCCTTTAATGTTTGGGTTGATTGATTTGTACTTGCCTTTGGTGCTATAGGTAGCTCTCAAACATGAAGCAATTTTTGAACTTAGATATTTTTATACTTATTTTAAATGAGAGTGCTTTTTTAAGCAATTTATTAATATTATTATTGTTTTTTTATTTTTATTTTACATTTGTTGGTCGTATTACAATTATATATTGCCAAAAAAATAATGAAAATAATAATAAACTTTCACAAATATAAAACAAGGTATCTGAAAGAAAATCAAAGGATCTTGTCGTCAGAACCTTAAATAAGTTCAAACAAGCATTAACAAAGGTAACAACAGTATTAAATTTCTACAAATTTCCTAAGTATATATTATATAACCCAAAGAGAGATCACGCGGATCTACTAAACAATATTTTATATAAACGTATACGTACCAAAATATAATAATATATTAAGTAAAGAATATAAAATCAACAAAATAAGTAAAAATAAACATTTTACAAATGTAAATAAGTAAAAGGCAAAGTTATTAATTTATATTATTAACAATAACATAGTACGTCATCTAATGAAAAAATTAGGGTCTTTAATTTACTTTTAAAAAAACGAAAAGTAATGGGTTCGAAAGTTCAAAGTCAAAATTCGGCAAAACAATTTTATTCCAAAGGTGTGGTGCAAAACAAAATTGATTAAAGTTTGTTTGACAAAAAGGTTTATTTAAAAATCAGTATTTCTCAAATTGTATTTGTTGATGGGTTTCGGAGTAAAAATATCTTTGAAGACAGGTCATTTTTATAAAAATGACTTGTCTCGATCTGTCAAAAAAATCAAACATGTGTATACAAAGCATAAAACATTATATATATTTAGTTCGTATATATTTAAAATTCTCATTCCAATAAAATAATGTTTTGCGTGAGAAAAGCGATTTGCAAAGCAGATTAAACGGATTGCATGTTTCTGACGGCGATAAAGACGTTGCAACTTACTTTTTTCTGTACTACCCCAGGCGATATTAGCATTATTTAAATAACTGTTTATAAATGAATAATAAAATTTGATTAAAATTTTCTTATTGAGGTAGATTCGTGCTTTATATAAATATGTTTATATAAATATGTCCTATGTTTTTAGAAATTTTATTGCTTATGTAATCGATATGATGATTCCAAGTGATGTTTTCATCAAGATAAACATAACAGATTGTACATAACATGTGCATTCTAAATTTATATTATACGTTGACAGGACTTCTAGAGTCTTCTATAACGTTCTAAGTCTTCTAGAACATCAAAGAATCTTAAAATTAAACTATTTTATAACTTATAGCATGAGTTTTATAACAAAATCTAACCAATTATATTACTAGTTTCGTATAAACAGTTACCTTTTCAATAATAAACAATGAATGCACAAGTGTACAATGAATATCCAAAGGTACAATAAATACCAAAGTGTACAATGAGTAAACAAGTGTACATTGAAAATACAAATGTACAATGAGTACATAAGTGTATAATTGCCTCTTAAAGTGTACAACCACCACTAAACGTGTACAATCGCTACTTTAGGAGTATAATCGCCACTTTAAGTGTACAATCGCCACTTAAAGTGTACAATCACAAAGTGATTAAAGTGTACTTTAATACTTACTTTTCTAACATTTGTATATTAAACCATTTTTATGCTATTTAAACATCTTCAAGCATTCTTATTTAATTTCATGTCAGGCACAATTTGACATCCAAAAACAGTTGTTGGCAACCAAACAGTTTAATGTAATAGTAGTCCCGTTTAGAGTTTTGTCAACAAAATAACTTTGTGTATGAAAAAGTTTGTGCATTCTATTTTCCATTCATTACTGCACCATATTTTTTTGCTGGTTTAACGATTCCAATATTTAAAACGTTTCAACATTAAACAGATTTTGAGAGTCCTGTTTCTAGTTTTTCTTTTTTTAGTTTTGATTTCTCTCTAGTTCTCAGTTTTTTTTGGGCAGCTCTTACCTAACCTATATCTCTTTACCATCTAAGAACGGGAAGAGGAGAAAACAATCTCTTTATTATCTTATAACAATGAACTTCTTAAACAAACGCAAACGGCGAAAAAAAATTACTGAAGTGAACTTAGAAAGCTTTTTATTGTGTTTTAAGATAAGTTTTTGCAGCCTTTTGCAATATTTGCATAAATATTTATATTAAACTATTGTTATATTTAAAGTGAGAACTGTTTTTTATGTTGTTTTTTATGTAACTTGATTAAGTTGTTCTATACTTTGGACTGTTGTTTAGTCTATTCTAAAATAAACAGTTAACAATAAGAATAACCAATTGCAGTTGTTAAATACATTGAATTCGAATATATAAATGGCTCTTAATTTTTATATTTTATTTTATTGCATTAATTATTTAGCATTTTTCTTACCATTTTTTAAATTTAATTTGAAACTTCTTCAATCCAAGTTTTAATTTAACTTTTTGTGCAATGGTAAAGCCAGCTTATATAAATTCAACCTAATTGTTTTAAAAACAAAATAATAATATAATTACTATAATATAAAAAAAAATAAAAACAAAAACTTAAAAATTGTTTTAGAACTCAAAAAAAAATATATATATAGCTTTTATCTTGCTATATCAAATTATTTCAGGGTTGAATTTACGAAAAGAGTTTCAAAAAACAGATAGAAATTTTTTACTATATATATAAATGTTATATATATATATATATATATATATATATATATATATATATATATATATATATATATATATATATATATATATATATTTATATATATATATATATATATATATAGTGTACATTAGGAACCTATTGGGCCTTTTTATTTTATATTACATGTAAAAAAACTTTAATACAACTATTTTTTTTACTTTTCTTAACTTCGAGAATAAATGGGGCGCACCAATTTTACTCGCTCTAAGCGCTAAATATGTAGCTATGCGACTGTGTTGATATTATGCTCTGCCCAATGAATATATATATATATATATATATATATATATATATATATATATATATATATATATATATATATATATATATATATATATATATATATATATATATATATATATATATACATATATATATATATATATATATATATATATATATATATATATATATATATATATATATATATATATATATATATATATATGTTTTACGCATTTTTTTAAATAGGCAATTTATAAAATATAAATGTTTTTATTTTGAACTAATTATAAAATAATTAGTGCAAAATAATTCTTGCCATAAAATTCATAATTTAAGTCATTGTAATGGCTAAATTTTTTTATCAATTAAAATGCATAATAAATTGCATCAGCTAATTTAATTTGCACAATTGATGCAATAAAATTAACCTAATTTGCATACAAACATATGCATACATAAACACAAATAATATGTATACAAAAATATATAGATAAAAGCATTATTAACTTCTTGCTTTGCAACTACATAGTTTCAATATAAAATTTCAAAAGTTATTATTATTATAATATATACTAAAAATTTATTCCTTATAAAAATCTTTTTTAAAAAAGTAGATTTTTTAATAACTCAAGATACCAACATTATTTTTTGCCGTTTTTGTTATTTGTCTTTTACATACGCTTTAAATTTGATTTTGTTTTTCATATACTTTGTTAAATATTTCATTGTTAATTTTAAAACTATTGTTGAAAAAGAGTCCTTTTTATTGAAATGCTAATTTAGCAAGCATTTGAAAAGCACTTCTGTAAAAGTAAGACTTTTTAAATAATATTTATAAAATTTCACAGTTTTTCAATTTCAAAAATCATTCAAATAATCATCAACAAAAACTCCTGATGGTTGAGATTGATTCATTGAATGATGCAGCTGGTTGGTTAATTGATGCGTTTGGTTGGCTGATGGATGCGTTTGGTTGGCTGATGGATGCGTTTGGTTGTTTACCGGAGCTATTAGATTAGTACATTGAAGCACATCATCAGAAGGAAGAGGTGGGAAATCGGCTTCTGCACGAGAAACGTCAATAACAACTTTATCTCTATCGTCGTTCTTCGAACATTTTTTAGCTATTACTAAATTGCATTCTTCAGTATCACTTTTATTTGGCTTAAAAGAATTTCGCTTTAAAGTTAATTTATTTTTAAAATAATTAACAAACTCGTTTTGTAATTTTTGATTTTGTTGTTTATACTTTATATTCTCTCTAACATTGACTTGCATAATATTTTCATCTTCTCTGTAAATTTTCTTTTTTTTAAAGACACTTGGAAAGTATATTCGGTATTGTGAGTTATTTAGAAAACATGAAATTATGCACATGATTATGACGATCGTAATAAAAATCATCAAAATCACCAAAAATGCTGCCATTTTTAAATTGCTCAATTATATATTGCTAGAACTTGTTGTTTAATGTGCAACACTCCTGCTAAGTGCGTTAATTGATAGGCTTCGTTGTATAACACTTTAGTTGCTCGTTAATTTCAATGGAAATTAAACAGATTAGGCTAAAGTCATAATAAAAATTAAAATTAACAAAAAAAAAAAAAAAGAATTAAAAAGTTTTAAGAATAGCAAATTAAATTAAAAGTTATAACATTTGGTTGCTTTTTTTTTTTTAACGTAGCATACATAAAGTTAATAGTATAAAATAAAAAGCTCTTTTATTAAATGGACATCATCGCTTTATTACATTAAAGAAAAGTTGAAAGTTTTAATGTAATAATTCAAAGTTCAGAAACATCACACTAAGTTTTACCGCCTTTTTACATTTTAATTTGATACGGATACCACATCATTCAATTATTTCAAGTCATTTATGACGTGCGTTTCAACAAGCTTTCATTTGTGTTGGTTCAGTGGCGCCACAAGAAAAAAGTTCCATTGAATAGTTGAAATGATAAAATAATGTGGATTAAATTTGAAAACTTATACCTTGTTCTTGCTGACGAAAAAACAAAAACATCTTAACATTTGTATATTTTTTTACAGTGTGATTACGGAGAAAGTACGTGCGCTATAAAACTGTTGCGTCATAAAAATTTAATTTTTTTAAATTGCGAACAAAATTGAATATCATGTTAGAGGACATGCTTATCACTCGATTTTTATTTGCTGTTTCTCTCGATGATTATTCTTTATTTTTACAGTGAGTGTTTTTAAAAGATATAACCTGTTTTTTAAAAACTGTTTTTTTTTTAATAGAAACTAGTTTTTACCTTTAAAATGCACTTTAATTTTGGTAACGCAACTTTTCTGGTTGTTCTTCTATTTCAACTAGTTGTTACCTTTATTCCCTTTCCTTTATATTCCATACAAAAAACGAGTGTAAAAACTTGTTTCCTACAAAAAAGTTATTTTTCGACGTTTTGTTTCTGCTGACGCAAATATTTAGTTTTTCTTGTCATATGAAGCTTTATAAACAAGATTTTAAAGCAAAGGTCATTCCCATTATATCCTCGTACTAAGACGGAGGTCGGTTTATTGTTTACTTTATAAACTTAAAACGCTCAAGTAGTATTAAACAACTTTTACAATTTTTCGACAATATCATTTTTTACTAGTTGCGTTTTTAGGTTCTTTAATCATTTTTCGATAAATATAAGCTAAGTTTAAAATAATAGATAAACACGCTAAGGGTAAGGCATGCTGGATGAAATTATTATGTAATTCAAAAAATAATGAATAATTTTCTTAAATTCTTCAAACAATAGAGAATTGAGAATATGTCATAATGCCATTTTATTAACATTTATGTCAAGTACCATAAATATTTCATATTTTTTAATACCCCCGTCATAACTAGATATACGGTCAGGGTGGGAAAAATCAAATCTTCCTATTATTTTCTACAAAATATTGGCATTAATACATTGATTGATACATAGTTGTAACTTTACTCAATTTTAAACTCTTTAATAAGCAACCGTGGTGCAGTGGCAGCGCGCTTGCCTCAGATACAGAGGATCCGTGGCTAAAATCCTACCTCTGGGCAAGTTTTGCAACATCGGTTTGGAAGGAGGCGTGCATTTCCGATTAAATGCTCATCCGCGGTGCTCTGTGATAAGAACGTAAAGACTTCCTAGAACACCTAAATAAAATTAAAAAATAATAATTATAATAATAATAATAACAAAGCGACTATTGCAACTAAACAAAACAAACTACAAACCATAAGCGCTTCTACTTCAATTAACAGAACTATTGAAAAAATAATTTGATACTCAAAATTAAGTGATTGTTTTCAATAAGTAATGAGGTAACTTGATACAGCATTTAAAACTATATATTTTCGAGATATGATTTCGACAATTAGATGTATTATTTGGGATATATGTATTATTTTGTTTGTCTTTCAAGAGAAAATCTGCCTTTTCTCTAAGTTTTATACTTTTTATTTATTTTTTAGTTGATGCTAATAGTTAATGTCAAGGTACTCCATGAGTTTAAATTTCTAATCTTACTTTGAATAATCTCACAAGTTTGACCTGCTATATTTTGCTAAATATTAAGTTTAATTTTGTAGATATAAATTTATTGTAAAAATTTTGGAAAAAATATTGGGGAAAATTTATTGTAAATCCGCCTTAAACTTAAAGGCAGTAAGTTTTTTTTAATTAAAAAATGTTCTATTTATGCAATATTTTTAAGTAAAATATTGTATTTATATTTTAGTTGAAAAACGCAGTTAAGAGATATTTTTAAGTCTAATTTAATATAAATATTGCAAGACCAACGACACCAGGGGGCACGTGCCTCCTCCCTTCCCCTTCCATTTTTTATATAAAGGACCTTTATTTTGTCAGTTAGAAAATTCTAGATATATTGGATTTTTAGTATTTTGTTAGATGTAATTTTTTTCCTAATGTATTTTTGAAATATCATGCTTAATATTTTAAGGTACTTTTTGCAGTAAGTTGCTACTTTTAATTATTTCAGGTTAGGTCAGGTACTGGATCATCACGATCCCCATTCTACTGGTATCCTGTAACCTAGTATCATGTAAACCATGTAACTACCTACCTCTGACCTTGCTGCCTTTTAAAGTATACTTTTTAGACAAATAAACTCCGATGTAAAAATTCTCTGCCTTGGGTCTCTTGTTTGAGTAAAGGCTACAAATAGTGTATTGATAAAGAAACTCATCTTGGACAGATGTTAACTACATCCAGCTACTTTCTTGTAGAAAACCTCCAAGACGAAGACTTTAAGGGTAAGTAAAATAATTTTGCTAACCAGCCTTAAACTTCTCCTTCCTTTATTAGAGTGCCTAGATGTAAACCTGAGCTACATGGTTTTCTGCCTAGGATAATGAGATTTTTCTTGCGCCTCCTTGATAGTGGCTATGAAACTCTTCTTGTTTTCATAAAATGAGAGTACAGCTCTAAAACTCAACTTAATGTTTCTGAGGACGGCTGGTAGTAAGACTTCCCAAACTCAGAGAGGCTGGTTCCATCAGCAGCTGTAAAATTTAAAGAAATATCAGAGTATTAACAGTACCATTATGTGCATTGATGGTATCCCTGGTAATGCTTTTGGTGCGCTATTTTTCTGCTATTTCTTCTTCTAATCTCAGTGTTGATGGGTACTATCTTTTAATTTGCAAAGATTCCAATAGTCGCGTGCTTGGCTGGGGGGTATACATACGCATCAATTCACTTATTTATCGTAAAATAAGATTCAAATCATTTGACCATTCCTTAATTTGCTTTTGCTTATCACTTTTTTACTCTATCACCTTTCTCTTTGTTCTTTATCGTTCTCCTTCTTCCCCAGATTGTACTCTTTTAGATGTAATTTCTGTTGATTGATTGACCATGCTCTCTCTCTTTAGTTGTCAGTCAATATTTCTGTTATTGGTGACTTCAATGCTCATCACACTGAATGGCTTGGCTCTAACACCACTGACCCTGCTGGTCTATAACTTAAAGCCTATAACTTCTGCATTTCTCAATCTCTTACTCAGTTATCTTTGTGACTCGTTTTACTAACAACCCTAATCATTTACCTTCATTCCTTGATTTATGTCTGGTCTCTGACCCTACCTTGTGTTTCTTTTCTTTTCTTTCTCCCTTAGGTGGTTCTGATCATTTAATCACCTCTTTAAATCTTACATCTCGAACTTTTTCTTCAGACTCACCCATCATCTCACTACTTATTTCTACCATAAAGCTGACTTGGATTCTTTTAAAGATTTTCTTCGTGACGGTCCTTTAGTTGATGTCTTTTCTCTTTCAGCTGATAATTGCATCTCCTAATGGAAACTTATATTCCTTCTCGTCAGTTCCAAGCCGATTGTCATTCTACTCTATGGTTTTCATCTTCGCTGCTAAATTGGATCGTAATTATTATTATTATTTTTCATCTTTTTCAAAAAAATAACTCTCTAGGAATAAATGGCTATTTATTAGTGCAAATAATTATTGTAAAAAAGTGCTGTCTCATGCTAAGTTCTTATCTCAGAAGTTAGGCTCTTAAGACTTTTGGAAAATCTTCGACAGCGTCATTAACAAGGATAGATTCTATTTCTCATACATGGGACTGATCTTATTGCCTCTCTTAAGGATAAAGCTCAACTATTTGCAAAAAACTTTTCTTTTAGTTTGACTCTTGAGTCTTATGGCCATTTTCTTTTCTTAATTCCAATTGAACAGGTTATACCCATTATTGGACATAAATCAGCTTCCGTTGCTAAAGTCATATCTCAATTAAACTTTTTTACGGCTTGCGGTCAAGACCACACTCTTGTCTAGTCTTACCAAAGTGATCTTTAGAACTCTCTTCAATTCTATCTAAACTATTTATATGTGCTTGACCGGGTCTTGTTTTCCTGCCTGCTGGAAAACGACATCTGTTGTTCCATTTTTCAAAAGTTTAGATGATCATTCTTACCCCTATAATTATTGTCTGAATAATCTTCTTTCTGTTATAAGCAAGGTATTTGAGTCTTTGATCAACAAATTTCTCATACCCCATCTTAAGTTAAATAACTAACTGTCAGACAATCAATACTGTTTTCGATCCTCTTGCTTTACGGCTCGCTTGTTAACTGCTGTATCTGAAAGATTTTACCGTGCATTAGATGGCGGTAGAGAAGTTAGAGCTATTGATCGTGACATATCGAAAGCTTTTGACAGAGCTTGGCAAACTGGTTTTCTCCATAAGCATGCTTCATATGATGTATCTAGGATAGTTTTATAGTTATCAAATTGTTTCTTTCAAACGCTTTATTAAAGTCATCCTCGAAGGCCAACACTCTTCTTTATTCTTTAAGTTCTATTCTTCTTTTGCTTTTTATATACATTTATGATCTTCTTGACAACCTTACATCTAAAATAGCTCTTTTTTGTTAATGACTCAACTTTACACTCCTGTCTTGACAAAAAATCTTCTCTTTTTGCTTAGAACAGGTAGCTGATCTTGAATCTGATCTCACTTCTGTAACAGATTGGGGCTTGCAGTGGCTTGTATATTTTAACTCCAACAAAACTCATTTATTGACTGCATACAACTATCGTAATAATGTCGACATTCCTATATTCCACACTCACAAAGTCCTCTTCTTTACGTCTTCTTGTATTATCATTTACTACTGGTCTTTCATAGAAATCATATATATAATTGATTGCAAAGTGAGCATCCGTTAAGGTTACTTCTTTTTATTGTGCTCACCATTTTCTTACTCCTAATTCAATTCTCTATTTTTTCAAATTTTTTATTCGCCCTTGTATGGAATACTGTTGTCATATTTGGGCTGGTTCTTCTAATGATGCTCTTTCTCTTCTAGGCAAGGTCCAATAACGCATTGTAAACATAGTTGGACACTCTCAAGACTGCTAAGCTTGAGCCTCTTTCCCATCGTCCTAAAGTTGCATTTCTTTCTCTTTTCTACAAATACTATTATGAATGCTGCTCAAAAATGCTATTATCTCTAATTTAATCAACTCATTCTTGTTTGACTTTCAGCAAAGTCTCATTCGTTTACTGTATCTGTCTGTTACATGCCCTAAAAACTTTTATTCGTCTAGTATATTTTACCGCATATTTTACCGCATATTTTACCGTATATTTTAACTCTTTGGAACTCTCTCCCGTCTTCATGTTTTCCTGAACTATACCACCTTTTCAAGTCTTTTGTCACTAGTTTCCTTGCTATATAACTCTATTCTTTTTTTTTCCAGTAATTCACAAATTAATAGTGGTTGCTTGCAGATTTGTTAGGAGTGAAACAAAATAAAAAAAACTTTAAAAAAAAACATATATAGGTACGCGGAAATTACGATTTACAGAACTGATTTTTATGCTAAAACTCTGTGCCCTTTTTTTTTGACATTTTCAAAAGGTAACGTATTTTTGAGGTGTTTCTTTTTAGAAGCATATATAAAAATATTTTATTTGAGGTGTTTCTTTTTAGAAGCATATATAAAAATATTTTATTTGAGGTGTTTCTTTTTAGAAGCATATATAAAAATATTTTATTTGAGGTGTTTCTTTTTAGAAGCATATATAAAAATATTTTATTTGGGGTGTTTCTTTTTAGAAATATAAAAATATTTTTTTTGGAAAGATAAAAAGTTAATTATACTTTTTATATGACTTTTATGTTAATAAGCTTTATTACAATTTTTTTGCTCATTAAAATTTCGTTAAGGTTTTAACATTAAAAACTTGTTGAAGGAGTGTTTAGCGATTTTTTACTAAGCGAATTTTCTACAAGCATTTTCTTTGCACCTGCCATATTTCTGCGAAAAATGTTTATTTTTCATATAAATTATTACTTTTATATAAATTATATTTTATATAAACTATTATTAATATTAGTTTCAAAATTCCAGCACTTTTGGTGACTAGTTTCTCTTTTTCTGAATTCGGTATACGCGAAGAAATAAAAAATCTTTTCCCCGAGAAATCAAATAACTTTTAATAAATATTGCTAATGAAGATGTTTTAAAGTTAATAACAAAAGAAAAAGGCAATATGTTTCTTATACTAATATAAGTTATACAAACTGATTGTGAGTTATACAAAAAATATTTTTTTAAGTTTATTTGATGTAAAATTATTATATATACCCAGCAAGTATTCTTTATCAGAATTTCGGTGGACCTATATAGCCATTTTGTGCTGAGCGCTGTAGTTTCGATCACTGGTTACTTAGTGGACCATTGGTGGCAGCCGCCAAAAGTCGCTAGCCAATGACTAACCATTATTAACATGTCTGCAATTTATCGCCTCGCCATTGATAGCGGCTGCTGCTAATGGTTCATTAAGTGAACAATAAGCAAAACTCCAATGAACAATTAAAAGATGCTCATATAGGTCGAATATATATATATATATATATATATATATATATATATATATATATATATATATATATATATATATATATATATATATATATATATATAGAAATTTAGAAATAGAAATAATTGTAAATCTTAGCAAGAGCTCCTTTTGATTTATAAAAATCTTGATTTTATTTACTTTTAATTAAATTATTTACTTTTAATTAAATTAACTCTTTTTAACGAGCCGTTTAAACTTGTAGGAAAGTGTAAGTAGTACATAATATATCAAAATGCTTCTTGATAAAATGTTGCGATGTTTAATTTGTAATTTAACTAAGGGCGTAGCGAAGGATTATTTTTAATTTTATTTGTGTTGCTTATCAGTAAAAATTAGCGTTGCAAAATTTATTGACAATCCCTAATGTAATCAATTCGGTATAATTGTCTGGTTGCTGTACATAACATTAAAACACAACTAAATCTAAATAGACCAACTTACAAAAGATAGGCAGTTCCTGACAGTACTGGCATTTTTTAAATTTCAATAGAAATTTTTAAATTAGTATTTGCGGGCGATAAGTTATGATTGCGTTATTTTGTTTGCTTTAAAAAACGAGATCGCTAGGAAAAACTACAATAATTTACTTTTATAATTTTGTTTTTAAAAATTTCAAATTATTGTAACATTGCATTATCTATCCACGATCTAAAATAAACAACATTTGCAAAGACGGTGTAAGTTTTGTCTGATCGGCAATCGCCAGATCCATGACTAACAGCTCCATAAACCTGCCATTTACCGCCACTGTTGCAAACTAATGGACCACCGCTATCGCCATGGCAACCAGAAATTTGAGTTGCTCCACCGTCACCAGCGCAAAGCATTCCTTTTGTTATAGAAACTGGTATTGTTCTTCTGTTCAAATTTTCACACGTTTGATGGTTAACAACATTCATTTTTGCTTGCTGTAAGACGTTTGTCATACTTCCAGGATGACTTATTTTACCCCATCCTAAAATATATTTATAAAGTTAAAATTGATTTGAGTTGATATACCTTTAGATAGTCTTTCACATCATGTGACCCTAAAAAATATGTGTTCATATAGTTAATAAATGTGAGCGCGGCTGTCAATGTGAATCCGCGGTTGATCATTTGACCAAATCAAACAAAAATTAAAGGCCTCAATTGTAAAATTGTGACAAGTAGTATTTTTTTTTAAGTCTTTAAATTGATCATGAGGTTTCACATGCATTCGAAATAAAATAAAAAATAGCAAGAGTTTATTAAAATTGGTATACCTGTGATAAAACATGTAGTCCCCGGTGCAGCTTCAACAGTAGGTAAACAAGCAGTGCTGACGTAACTACTCAGCCTACAAGGTCGTGATAATTTAATAAGTGCTATGTCATTGTCAAGCGTTTGTGGATTGTAACCTCTATGTTTTATGATTTTTAATGCTGGAATATCTTCTTCCGTTCCTTCATTAACACTCAAAGTGTGTTCTCCGGTCCTAAAATTCAATAGGAAAAGTAAAATTTTGTAGTTTAAATTGAAATTGAAAATTCAAAAATAAAACTTAAAATATTTTGTTTTACTAATTATATTCAAATAATTTTAAAATGCTAAAACATAAGATTTATGTTAAAGTTTCATAAACTTTTCAATTTTTTTATTTAAGTTTAAGTTAAAGAAAAAGTACATTCAACAAAAAGAACGGCGAAAGACGGCAAAGTGTATAAACTTAATGAAACTTGAAAACGTTTGTTTTATTGTTTATTGAAAAAATTCACATTAAAAAATATGAATTTATTAATTGGAATAAAAACACATCAATAAGATTTACTAATACTTTAAAAGCTCAGCAAAACGTGCATACTCTAATAGATGTGCGTTTAACATTTTGTTGCTTATACATTGAGATTTTTTATGTAAGTCTGCTAACTATCAACCTTGATTACACTCTATATTTATTATTATTCTATCAATCATGATAGGGCCGTCTCATAGATACCAGAGACCCTGAGCCTGTTTGTAAATTAAGGCCACCTCAATTAACTTTTTCTTTTAAAAATAACAACACAAATATAAAAATCAGTTTCATTGAATGCATAAAATTAAATATTAACTTGAAAAGTGCAATTCTCGTAGCGTTTCAAGAAAAAAAAATCATCAAACAACTCTTTGAATCTAATTACTATTATTTATTTTAGTTCGAATCTAATTTAATATTATGTATTTTAGTTTTATAATTGGGTTGGCCCCGGGCCCCACACATCTATTGATAGAGCAATTGATAAAGGAACTATGCAGTGCGCACAAATCCCGTGTCGCAGCAGCGAGCTTGAGAAGTTGCAAAATTAATTTTTTTTTTTCTTTAGGGGCCTCTATCTAATTGTGTGCCCTGTTCGAAGAACCGGACCGCACACCCTGTGCGCCGGGCATGAGTAAGTAACAGCTTCTAGTGTTCTCCAATACTTAAGTTAACAACTAGATCAGTTTAATTACTACAATAAATTAACTGCGACTACAGCAACACAACGCTTCATTATATTTATTGTTAACTTATTAACGAAAATAAAAGAGAGATATCGAATATATGAGAGATAAGTAGAAGCGTTAAAAAAGAAACCAGAACTTCTCCTACCTTGTATATATTTGCGACGCTTCGAATTCTTTTCCGTGTATACAATGAGCAGCAGTGAGAACCCATTCTCTGTGAATGAGTGTTCCTCCACAAAATGCTTTTCCTCCCTGCCAAAGCAATACTTGCCAAGGCCACGAGCCTTTTGTTGGAGTTGTTCCTGCAATTACACGACTACTTTGAATTGATGGTTTTCCGCATCCTAAAAAAAACTCTTTAATTAAATCCGCAAGTTTTCCGTACTTTCAATAACTTATCGACATGTGTTTTCATTTTTTTTTACTTCATACAAAACTATCAATTTGTTTATAAATTGTGTATAACAACAACTACAAAAAATGTCAAAGCCAAATAGTAAAATATTCGGATTTGATATTTTCTTTAATTGGTTAACGAATTAATTTGTCACTGGTTTCGGTATATGATACTGTTAAACTATTGTTAGTTCATGAAAACAAAATGACCTACCTACTGGAAGAACACCAGGTATTGAACCTAAATTATAAATTAGAAAAAGTTCAGTTTCTAAACATTTATATTGTTGTTAATGTTTGCTTAAATTCGACCATTTTCAAAACAAAATTTCAAGATAAAAGTTTAAATGGTAAACTTAATTACAGTAGTTGCATGTTTGTTCACAATATTGACTCATGAAAGCAATCAACGAGGGCTGCGTGCACAATGCTTGATTTGCTTGACACCATTGTTGTGAATAGTCTGAGCAAGCTAAATAAAAAATCCAGGAACAGTTTGATTTCATTTTTACATTTTTTATACCATTTAATTATTTGTTTAAAATAACATATGTGATGTCACCGTAGCGAAATGCAAAATAAATACCTGAAGCCATTGTAGTTATGGCAACCATTAATAAGAAGAAAAACAATGTTTTTATCATTTTTCGACCTTATTTAGAGGTTTTCTATTGCGACCTTGTTTAGAGGTTTTCAAACTGTTGCGATAATATTCAGTGAATTTCAATGTAATATAAGGCTAAGACTTGTTTGTTCATTCTCACAAAGAGTGCTTTGTTCACCTACTCCCCCAAACAGTGACTTGTTTGTTCATATTGCGCGTCTGTTTTGCATATTTTTTCATATTAATTTATCTGATTTATTATAAATATATTTTAAAATAAAACAATAAATTATTAGCTTCAAGTAAACACCAACTCAGCTGTCAGCAGCTGTTATTTTTGTAGAAACTCACTTCGGACATGTTTTGTAAGAATATGTTTCTAAGAACTATTAGGTTTCTTAGAATTATTAAGTTTCTAAGCGTTACAAAACTTCTAAGAATTATTAAAATTCTAAGAATTTATAAAGGTAAGTTTCTAAGAATGAAAAATAATGTTGCGCTAATGTTCAGTATAAAGTTTGATATCAACGTTAGTGTTGTTGTCGTTTTTTTACGCTAAGTTTAGTGAAGTACTCTTAAAAGTATAATAACTAAGACTTTTCTAAAACTTAACTAAAACTTTTCATTACTCCTTCTATCAATATTTTCTTGAAACTTTCAAAACTTTTATCTACCTCAAGCCTTTTTCAGGTCCAAGTCGTTTTCAGGCCATATAAGATAATGAAGTAAGCCCAGATGTGTTTGTGTGTTTCTGTTGATAATTAGTGTCTGTGAGCTTGTGAAAAACACTTGTATTTAATAAATAAATAGAATTGGGTTCGTTAAGATAGATTGTTTTGGTACAAACGCTAACATCTAAAACACCAAGACAAATCTGAAAATACTAATGACAGGTTTAACTACCTAAAAAAATTTTTTGTTACCCCCAAAACCTTGATAAACTAAAGATAAATAGAAAAATTTTATAATTTGTTTAGCAAATATGTATTATTAAAAAAAGTCTGAAAAAAAGAAGATTTAGAACTGCGAACATTGCGCTCGATTACAACATTTTATGATATATCTTTTATGACATATTAACATATGTTGACACTATAACTCATCACTAGTCTCTTATAAAATCAAGCAAGTACGTAAGATGGATTGGTCTGTAATAAAAAATAAACGTCAGTTTTAATCGCAGATAATTTTTAAAAATAGTTTTCAAAGAACTTCTTAAAGCAGCTCAAGAGGCGTGTCAAAAGAAGTTTTAAAATTATTTCTTTTTTTTCTTTGGACTATTATTTGGACGGTGTTGAAGCCAAGTAGACTAAACCTTAAAATTTTATATTTTGCTTTGTCTTCCAATAGCCTAGCTTGCTGCAAGGCTATTGGTAGAGAAATTAGTCTGGTTGTGTGTAGATGATGCATTATGTTTTTTTATGGGAAACTGTTGTAACAATAATGCACTCATTTTTGACAGAGTATTCGCTTTTCTTTATCAACATAGGTTTAATAATAAAAAATAACTAGAATTTAACACTTTACTTAAAAAAGATTAACATAAAAAATATAAATTTGTCTAATAGTTAAATCTGTTTTTTTAATTTGACTTTGTTTTGTTTTTTTCATACATGTATAACTTGATTAAATAAAAAACATAAAAAATTTAAAAATGTTTTTATACTTAAATATGTTTTTTTTAATTTCACCGACTTTTTTTTCTATTTATTCATACATGGATAACTGCTGTAGTCTTGACTCATCTTTTTAAACGAAGTTTTATTTATTTATTCATATTTATTCTTTAATCATAAGTTTTTTTTTATTTTATAAGTTTCGTAAGTTAGTTTCGATATTAAATTTAGTTTTGACGTTTCATTCTAAATTTTTTAATTTGGTTTCGATAGCAAATAGTTTCTAGCCCCTCTTCCTTGCTACTAGAGTTGATGGCGATAGATTATTATTGTTTTATTTCAAACTTAAACTTAAAAAATCGCTTCATCATATCTACCCTAAAGCTAATATATTCTAATAAGTGGTTTATAGCGAATATAATTTTTATACTTGATAAACATTAACACAATGAAATTGTTTATCAAATCGTCTATAACTGAGAGCTTTTATTGTAAACCTTTACTTTTAACTTTTATTTTACTTTTTTCGTCGGTAGCGTTTTACACTGGTAAAAGGTTTTATAAAATCAACTCCTGGTTGTTAATAAAATTTTAGCTTAGTCAGAACTTGATTCTTTGTATTCTTTTTGATGAATATTTCAGTCAGAAAAGTCATATAAATTTTTCTCGAATAAAGTTTTAAAAAATCTGGGGATTATGTAAATGACAAAACATCTTTTGAATTTAATGTGTTTAAAAAGTTTATAGCATTCGTTTATACATATTTTAACTATCGTAGTATTGCTCGAACAAGTAATATATTTATCATCTCGAAAAAACGTATATTCTCAACAAAAGCAAGCAAGTTGATTTGTTTTGGAAGTGGATAGATATGAAAGTGCAATGCCGTTACTCAAAAAAATCAATTCTTACAATGTTTAAGCAGTAAATATCTACCGCATTTTATTTATGCTTAAAATTCAAACTGATAATCTTTTAAAATATTTTTACAAATATTTATCCCTTATTAATTTTAAATATGAAAAGAGACACTTAATAAGTAGTATATTCCGCTGTAGTAATTACTTTTTGAGCAAGTAATTACGACACGTGACGAAAAAATTGTTTTAATTACATTCATATTCTGAAACCTTAACTATATATAATGTTCTGAAATCTTAAATCTGGGTTTTTTCGCTACAAACATTTATATTTTATGATACCGCAAATTTTATCATTTTATGTTTTTTCGTCTTTTCATAATTCACAGACCAGACCGCTTAACGGGAAAATATCGTAGTCAACAAAATATCATACAGACGCTCTAATATTTTAAAAGTGCCTTAACTACACCGAGTGGCAAAAAACGTTATTAATACAAACGGACGTTTACGAGCGTTAAGTTTAGGTGCACATGTGCCAGAAGTTTAAAGAAATTTCAGATTTTTTTAAAATGGCTGCGGTTTTTAGCTACATAATTTTTTTTATATAGCAACTGTTATTTTTAGTTTATTTTTGTAAGAATTAATGTTGTTACCATTTTACTGATCTAAATCAATAAATAAATGCCTTTTTTGTATTAGTAAATAAATAAATACGCTAACTAATTATTTTTAAAGTTTTAATTTGTAACATTGAGTGGTTTGTTTATTTTTTTAAAATAAATTCTGAGAATTTCTAACTGTACAAATTGAAAAAAAAAATTTTCTTTATTATTATTATTACTTTCTTTATACTTTGATCTTCTTTTGCTTAAATTTAATTTTTTTGTAAAAATGTATTTTAACTCGTTTAGCTTGTTAAGAGCTAAACGAGTTAAAATACATTTTCAGTTTTTTGTTAAATTTTGTTTTGGTGCATTTTAATCAATTATGTTATAAAATTAGGGATATAAAAATGTAATAAAATTAAAACAAATATATATATATATATATATATATATATATATATATATATATATATATATATATATATATATATATATATATATATATATATATATATATATATATATATATATATATATATATGAGAGAGAGAGAGAGAGAGAGAGAGAGAGAGAGCAACGTGCAATATTACATAAGCAGTTTACATAAGTATAAGCTATAAAAAGTTTTATTATATTTCAAAAATTAAAAAGAGCAAACGAGACAAGTACTTTTTCGAAAAACATTAATATACATAGCTTACATGAAATTTAAGTTAATTTTATTATTTAATATTAAACTAAAAATAATTAAAGTTAAAATATTACTTGGTTTTTTTTACATATACTAAATCTAAAATACATCTATTTTTTACATGTACTATTTTTAGAAGACTATATATCTGTCATCATATTAGTTGTTCCAATATTTCAACCCTATAATATTGGAACAAATTATTATGATGACAATTATAATCTTGTAAAAAATACTTAAATATGGTTCGATTTACTAATTTAGATACCAAATTGCATTAGTAGCTGTTAATGTATAGTTAGAAAATGGCTATTGATATTTATAAGTATTATATATGATTTTATATTTATGTTAGTTTGTGTTTTAATAACATATATTGTTCAAGATTTTTAATTTTTTGAATTTACTTAATTTTATCTATTCTAACTTTAATGACATTAAAGTGGAGGTTAATTTTATAGCTGACTTTGTTAATTTAATTAAGCTGACATTTTTTTCCCTAGATGATTTTATAAAACACTTCAAGAAAATAACTTGATCATTAAAAGCACAGTATCATGTTCTCACTTAAAAGAAGCTAAAACCAGATTTTACATATTTTTTAAGTTTAAAAACTTTAAGATTTTAAAAACTATGATTGTATAAAGTAGGCAAACTCTATGTATAATGGATATATGCTAATAATCTACAGATTAGTTATATTGATGAATTTCAGAAATTGATAATTAAATCAAAAGTTCAATCAGTATGATACAACTTTTTAAATTATGCAATACTGAGAGATATATAAATAAAATTTATCAATGATTTTGCTGTTGTTGTTAAAAGTATAAATAATAGGTTTTACATAAACTTATTTCCCTACCATGGGATACAAAGCTCCAAAAATCTAGCAAACCTGGCCTTTGAGCCAATATACAGATTCAAACAAGTTTACTTTAAATTTAGAGATTTTATTAGTGTGCATTAAAATTATACTATCAAATATTTCTAACTCTTTAATTAAACTATTAATGTTATACAAATGATGAGTTTAACTTTTGTGCATGTCTTTTTTCATGACCTTTAAAACCTGTCTTAAATACAGAAAAATATTGAATTAACAAAAACTTTTGATTTTTTGATTTGAAACTGTTTGTTTTTAATGTTTTAAAATTAAACCTGGAAAATTGATTTTTGTAGTTATAAGGCTGCTGAAGTAATATGACACTTTTTGTGCTCTTTTTAGATATCTCCCTCCCAAAAACTGTTTTAAGATATTTTTATAACCCCCCTCACCCCAGCCTCCTATTTCTAATGTGACGTGACATTTGTAAATAAAATATATTTGAGTTTATGCTTAAAGTTTACTTATTAACAAGAAATTAAATTGAATAAAAATTCAATATCAATTTTTATCACAACGGAATTATGTCGCACAAAAAAAAAAACTTGTATTAGCCCTAGACGTACACATTATGAAGGCCTTATCATGCGTACGTAAAGGGCGGATACAAAGGATTAAGAAGTTAAACTTTCAATATACACATACCTCCACATACCTCCACATACAATGTGCATACCCCTCTTCCTTTCCGAGCGTTCGTATTTTATGGACAATCCCTTAACTACTTTTTAAGAGCTTCGAAATATAAAATTTAAAATGTTCAAAATAACTAAGTTTTCAATTAAATTAGATTTCAAAGTTCTTTCCCCAGGGTAATCAATAACTGGTGTATAATTTACAACCCAAAAATAAAAGGCAAATGATTCGTTTAAAAATCAATAAATATCAAACAATAAGTTTACGACTGTTAGGGAACTACTCATCAAATCAAGAAAGTGAACTATATACTAATCAATTCTTTAAAATATTTGGAAATAAGGTCAAGATAAATCTAGTTACTTATTAAATAAGGGTGGGTAAGAAGAAAAAAAGAATTATCTGGTAGTATAAAAAGCAACCAACAAAGAAAAAAATGTATTTAGTAATTTTCATGTATTTAGCAGTATTTTGCTTTTCTATTTTTTCTTTTTTTTTCAATCTCTTACATATATACTTTTACATAATTTAGACTTTTTTTAAAAAAATTTATAGTTGCAATTTATTCTTTTTCTCAAGGTTGGTTTAAGCTTTCTGTTTATAGAGTTAGTTTTTGATGGTCTGATTTAAGAAAAACTTTTTCTTTAAACTCGTAATAAATGAATTAGCCTCCTTATTTGTAGTACCCAAATCTATTTTTTTATCCAAAACCCTATTATAGTTAAAAGAAAAAAAAAAAATAATTTTGAAACTTCTTTTGACACGTCTCTTGAGCTGCTTTAAGAAGTTCTTTCAAAACTATTTTTTAAAATTATCTGCGATTAAAACTGACATCTATTTTATATTACAGACCAATCCATCATACGTACTTGCAATTGAAAGAAAGAGTGATGAAAAGTTTACAGTCTTAGTTATTATACTATTAAGAGTACATCACTAAACTTAGCGTAAAAAAACGACAACAACACTAACGTTGATATCAAACTTTATACTGAACATTAGCGCAACATTATTTTTCATTCTTAGAAACTTACCTTTATAAATTCTTAGAATTTTAATAATTCTTAGAAGCTTTGTAACGCTTAGAAACTTAATAATTTTAAGAAACCTAGTAGTTCTTAGAAACATATTCTTACAAAACATGTCCGAAGTGAGTTTCTACAAAAATAACAGCTGCTGACAGCTGAGTTGGTGTTTACTTGAAGCTAATATTTTATTGCTTTATTTTAAAATATATTTATAATAAATCAGATAAATTAATATGAAAAAATATGCAAAACAGACGCGCAATATGAACAAACAAGTCACTGTTTGGGGGAGTAGGTGAACAAAGCACTCTTTGTGAGAATGAACAAACAAGTCTTAGCCTTATAATACATTGAAATTCACTGAATAATATCGCAACAGTTTGAAAACCTCTAAACAAGGTCGCAATAGAAAACCTCTAAATAAGGTCGAAAAATGATAAAAACATTGTTTTTCTTCTTATTAATGGTTGCCATAACTACAATGGCTTCAGGTATTTATTTTGCATTTCGCTACGGTGACATCACATATGTTATTTTAAACAAATAATTAAATGGTATAAAAAATGTAAAAATGAAATCAAACTGTTCCTGGATTTTTTATTTAGCTTGCTCAGACTATTCACAACAATGGTGTCAAGCAAATCAAGCATTGTGCACGCAGCCCTCGTTGATTGCTTTCATGAGTCAATATTGTGAACAAACATGCAACTACTGTAATTAAGTTTACCATTTAAACTTTTATCTTGAAATTTTGTTTTGAAAATGGTCGAATTTAAGCAAACATTAACAACAATATAAATGTTTAGAAACTGAACTTTTTCTAATTTATAATTTAGGTTCAATACCTGGTGTTCTTCCAGTAGGTAGGTCATTTTGTTTTCATGAACTAACAATAGTTTAACAGTATCATATACCGAAACCAGTGACAAATTAATTCGTTAACCAATTAAAGAAAATATCAAATCCGAATATTTTACTATTTGGCTTTGACATTTTTTGTAGTTGTTGTTATACACAATTTATAAACAAATTGATAGTTTTGTATGAAGTAAAAAAAAATGAAAACACATGTCGATAAGTTATTGAAAGTACGGAAAACTTGCGGAACTTTACGGAACAGTCATTAACATCGCATTAATGTTGCGTTATTGAAAAACTTTTTTTTTTTCTATATCTTAAAATAATAAAAGAGTACCTAATTTTATGATGATTAAAAATATTACGGATTAAATATTAAAAAAAGAAAGGTTGTTAAAATTAGTTTTAAAAACATTACTGGTTTAATGCCACCATATATAGTATTATGACGTGTAACTAAAATAAAAAAACGCTTTTATCACATGGGTTCCATGTGCGTTCTGTGTGGGATACACGGAAACCTACATGGAACCCATGTGGGACAAACGCTTTCATTTTTACTCGGATAACGGACAACTTATGTAGACAAACACTACCTATAATTTTATAATCATGTTATATGTTGAAGCGTTAGTTTTTATAGTTGACATAAAAGTAATTGATAAACGTTCTTCATTTTGCGAATAAATTTGTTTGGTGCACTATGTTTAATTAAAGAGTTTTTTTTAGGGTGCGGAAAACCATCAATTCAAAGTAGTCGTGTAATTGCAGGAACAACTCCAACAAAAGGCTCGTGGCCTTGGCAAGTATTGCTTTGGCAGGGAGGAAAAGCATTTTGTGGAGGAACACTCATTCACAGAGAATGGGTTCTCACTGCTGCTCATTGTATACACGGAAAAGAATTCGAAGCGTCGCAAATATATACAAGGTAGGAGAAGTTCTGGTTTCTTTTTTAACGCTTCTACTTATCTCTCATATATTCGATATCTCTCTTTTATTTTCGTTAATAAGTTAACAATAAATATAATGAAGCGTTGTGTTGCTGTAGTCGCAGTTAATTTATTGTAGTAATTAAACTGATCTAGTTGTTAACTTAAGTATTGGAGAACACTAGAAGCTGTTACTTACTCATGCCCGGCGCACAGGGTGTGCGGTCCGGTTCTTCGAACAGGGCACACAATTAGATAGAGGCCCCTAAAGAAAAAAAAAAATTAATTTTGCAACTTCTCAAGCTCGCTGCTGCGACACGGGATTTGTGCGCACTGCATAGTTCCTTTATCAATTGCTCTATCAATAGATGTGTGGGGCCCGGGGCCAACCCAATTATAAAACTAAAATACATAATATTAAATTAGATTCGAACTAAAATAAATAATAGTAATTAGATTCAAAGAGTTGTTTGATGATTTTTTTTTCTTGAAACGCTACAAGAATTGCACTTTTCAAGTTAATATTTAATTTTATGCATTCAATGAAACTGATTTTTATATTTGTGTTGTTATTTTTAAAAGAAAAAGTTAATTGAGGTGGCCTTATTTTACAAACAGGCACAGGGTCTCTGGTATCTATGAGACGGCCCTATCATGAATGATAGAATAATAATAAATATAGAGTGTAATCAAGGTTGATAGTTAGCAGACTTACATAAAAAATCTCAATGTATAAGCAACAAAATGTTAAACGCACATCTATTAGAGTATGCACGTTTTGCTGAGCTTTTAAAGTATTAGTAAATCTTATTGATGTGTTTTTATTCCAATTAATAAATTCATATTTTTTAAAGTGAATTTTTTCAATAAACAATAAAACAAACGTTTTCAAGTTTCATTAAGTTTATACACTTTGCCGTCTTTCGCCGTTCTTTTTGTTGAATGTACTTTTTCTTTAACTTAAACTTAAATAAAAAAATTGAAAAGTTTATGAAACTTTAACATAAATCTTATGTTTTAGCATTTTAAAATTATTTGAATATAATTAGTAAAACAAAATATTTTAAGTTTTATTTTTGAATTTTCAATTTCAATTTAAACTACAAAATTTTACTTTTCCTATTGAATTTTAGGACCGGAGAACACACTTTGAGTGTTAATGAAGGAACGGAAGAAGATATTCCAGCATTAAAAATCATAAAACATAGAGGTTACAATCCACAAACGCTTGACAATGACATAGCACTTATTAAATTATCACGACCTTGTAGGCTGAGTAGTTACGTCAGCACTGCTTGTTTACCTACTGTTGAAGCTGCACCGGGGACTACATGTTTTATCACAGGTATACCAATTTTAATAAACTCTTGCTATTTTTTATTTTATTTCGAATGCATGTGAAACCTCATGATCAATTTAAAGACTTAAAAATAAATACTACTTGTCACAATTTTACAATTGAGGCCTTTAATTTTTGTTTGATTTGGTCAAATGATCAACCGCGGATTCACATTGACAGCCGCGCTCACATTTACTAACTATATGATCACATATTTTTAGGGTCGCATGATGTGAAAGACTATCTAAAGGTATATCAACTCAAATCAATTTTAACTTTATAAATATATTTTAGGATGGGGTAAAATAAGTCATCCTGGAAGTATGACAAACGTCTTACAGCAAGCAAAAATGAATGTTGTTAACCATCAAACGTGTGAAAATTTGAACAGAAGAACAATACCAGTTTCTATAACAAAAGGAATGCTTTGCGCTGGTGACGGTGGAGCAACTCAAATTTCTGGTTGCCATGGCGATAGCGGTGGTCCATTAGTTTGCAACAGTGGCGGTAAATGGCAGGTTTATGGAGCTGTTAGTCATGGATCTGGCGATTGCCGATCAGACAAAACTTACACCGTCTTTGCAAATGTTGTTTATTTTAGATCGTGGATAGATAATGCAATGTTACAATAATTTGAAATTTTTAAAAACAAAGTTATAAAAGTAAAATATTGTAGTTTTTTCTAGCGATTTCTTTTTTAAAATCTAAAAAAATAACATTGCAAATATTTTTATTTTGTAAATATTTTTTTGTTTGTTTTTGTTACTCCATTGAGTTGGTAACTAAGAATGAAAATAAACTCTTTAAATTATTTCACGGTTAAAAAGAGCGGAAACGTTTCTCTAAAAACTATTTGTAATAATATAAGAAAATTGTAATATTAAAAAACGTGATAAAGCAACCATCAAGAAAAGTATTTAAGAGGTTAAATGAAAGAGGGTGGTAGCGAAAGAGTGGTAATGAAGCGGTTTGTTAAATAATTTTTAAACAAAAGGGAATTTTTTTTTTTAAACTAGTGATTTTTATGAAAAAAAAAAAAAATTAATAAAGGAGAAAGCATTAATAAAGGAGACAAACACTGATTCGAACTTTCAAAAATTCATACTTAAATATGAATTTTCTACTATTTGTGCTATATAGTTAATAATTATACAAGAATTATTAGTGTCGGCATTGGCCATTCTAGCCAGCCGGTGTATCATCATATTAATTAAGACAAGAACAACCATTGAACTTAATTGGTATGTAAGGCGATTGAAACGTCAAGGTGCACAGTTCCTGGCCGAAACAACTTAGTTGCTTTGTAGTATGAATGAAATTGCAAATGATAAATTTCACGTCCTTAGAAGAGAGTTCTCATGCCTTGGAGTACTTTATCGACTAGGTTTCTCATTACGTACAAATGAATCTTGGCTGAAATTGAAATAGATCCTGCGATTATCTAGGCTACAATTTGCCATTAGTGTCACATCATATTTAGTACCTAAAATAAGTGTTGAATTTAAATCCTAAGAAAATTCTGTCTTACGCCATAAAGTTATTATTAACTGAGGAGTTTATCATTTCTGAGTTAGTGAGTCTTGACTAAATCAAGAAAAAGTTCAGGCGGTAATACTGGCAATATATAATAAAGAAAATGACACGTGATTTAGTGATGTCGCTCTATGATGGCTGTTATCAATCTATAATGGCTTTTGTGAATAGAAGGTCCTACAGAACATGCAGAGATTGGGGATTTTGGTTAGACAGGTCTCCGTCATAGTTTTTATTTGACAATTTTGTTTTCTTGAACTAGCCTGATATATATATATAGAATTATAATTCTGGGCAATTTCTGTCTATTTCTTAAAGGTAATTTAACTAAAAAGTATATCATTTCTGAATTGTAAGATCTAGCCTGGGTAAAAATATTGTTTCGGCAATTATACTGGTAATAAAAAGATATTATGTCACGTGATCTAGTGATGTCATTCTATAATAGCTCTTTTTACTACACGTTTAAGAACATGGAGCGAATGAGGGTTTGGTTTGGGCAGGTCTCTGTTGTCGTTTTAATTTTAAGATAACTTTTTGATTTCTTGAAATAGCCTAAAATAAATGTAGAATATATAGAATATATATAGAATATATATAGTTCCTGCGATTACATTGGAAATCAATAAAATATAGGTCACGTGATTTAGTGATATCATTCTATAATGGCTGTTTTTGCTACAGGTTTCAAAAAATGCAGTAGCTGGGGGTTTAGTTTGTGCAGGTCTCTATTGTTCTTTGGTTTGGGCAGGTCTCTAAACTTCTACACGATTTTTTTTGTATAAGCAACTCGTTTATAAGCAAGTGAACTCGATGTGAAAAAATATTAAGCAACTTCAGTTCTAAACAAATGTTAACATAAGCAACTCATAAATTGCAATTTTTTTCTCTGCAATCTAATGACTTCTTTTAGATTAACGATTTCAAAAGATAGTAATCACAGTAGTGTTGTTGTTGTGTATGTTATTGACAACGCTGTTAAGATCATGAGTAAGAGAAAGCAGACAAATTTGTTCAACTTTGGTTTTACCAAAAAGATTTGTCATCGTGGTTAGTTGGTAAATGTAGTACCGAAGGAAAAAGAAGATAAATTGTTTGAATGTATTGTTTGCAAAAAATCACTGAAAACATCACAAGCCTTTTCGATGCACAAGTTTTGATGTAAAAATAAGTTATCACATACGGATATTGCTCAAACTGACAAAGACCCGAAATCAATGAGCTTGCATCAAATCATTGATGGAAAGAACAAGTACAATAATATTGAAAAAACTGTGAAATCGGTTTTAGAGAAGCTTGTTACTGATGTTGAAGCTAATGAATTACCAATAATTGTTGACAAACGGAAGAGCTATACGTTGAAAGAAAAGGTTGATGCGCTAAATGACTTAAACAATGGTATGTTAAGTAGGGATGTAGCAAAAAAGTATAACGTTCATAAGAGTATGATTACGCGATTGAAATCAAAGAAAAAAGAAATCTACAACAAGTACAACGAAAAAAAGAAAAACGCGTTATTCAGGAAATGCCGAAGAGGCGACAAACACAAAGCTTTGTTTAACAAACTTTATGACAAATTTTCCGAAGCAAGAAAAAAGAGGATAAAGTTAACTTTGAGTGGTTGTATGTCCGAGCGAATCAAATTCATCTACAACAAAGCCCGAATGCTGACAGATTGCCAAAATCAATAGTCACTCATTTCTAAAGGAAAAATAAGATCCGCATGCTGTGTGTTCAACGTAAGCGCTAAGCTGACGTAAAGAAGCAAACCCCGATTCTGATGAAACGGCATTCAAATTTGAGAGAAAAGTTGATTAAGTTGATTAATTAAGTCTGGAAGTGGCAAACCCACCTACGATAAAAAAAATGGGGGCGTTTCCCACCGAAAAAGAGAATCAATGTAGATCAATTTCCACTCCCGTTTGTAGTCGAGAGCAAACGAACATACGAAATTCCAATGAGTAAGGGAAAGGAACAAAGAGATCATAGAGTATGGGTAGCTCAACCTGGCAGTGGGCTTGATAAGCGACAAGCTACCCTTCAAATATGTTTCAGTCCTGAAGGAATGGTGAAGCCGGCGTTGATTTTCAGAGGTAAGGGGAAAAGGATTAGTCAAGACGAAGTTTTAGCCTATGACACTGATGTAGATGTGTACTGGCAACCAAATGCATGGGCAGATACAGCGTTTTCCGTGAAATGGGTGAAGAACACTCTCTCCAATGCTGTTGCTAACCTGGATGAGTATGTTTTGTTTCGCGATAACCTGACAGCCCAAGTCAGTGATGAGTTTTTAAATGAAGTGCGACAACATAAAGGTATTGGCTGGTTTGGTGTTCCCAACGGGACACGTTTTTGGCAACCTGTTGATGCCGGTCCAGGAAAAGCATACAAAGAAATCGGTCCTATAAAGCATTCAAATCACATATTAAAGCAGAATAAAACATCTGGCTCGAAAATGATGAAAACATCGAACTCTGGCTTGGCAACGATGATCGGAAACTGTCGGCAAAAGATCGCCGCATTTTGATAACTCGTTGGGTCGGTGAAGCTTACCGTAAAACATCCAAAGACGAGAAATTTCTTTGTATGCTTTATAGGAGCTTTGCGAAAACAGGATGTCTTATCACGGCTGATAGTAGCGAGGACAATAAGATAAATCCTGAAGGCATGCCTGCTAATGTTGATCCACCCCCTGTTGACATTGATAACCTGGTGGAAATCACAGAGACTCCTATTCCAGACGAAGTAAAGGATAATCCTATTGATGTTTTGCCTGACGAATCAGACGGAGAAGACAAGGAACTAGATGGACGAGTAGAAAAATCAGACGGACAAGAAGACGAAGAAAGTGGAGGTGAAGAAAATAAAGATCCAGCAGAAGAGAGAAACATTTGTGATCTTTTTTTTATTAGAATTTAAGTGATTTTAGTTGTAAAGAGCACTCTTCTGTTAAAGACTTGATATTAATCCGTATTTTTTCTCTTATTTGTAAAAACACTGAAATTTAGGCTAAGAAACTTAAGCAACCATTAAGCAACTCGAGATATAGAAATTGGCTAAAAAATAAGCAGACCAAAATTCAAAGTTGCTTATACAAAAAAAATCGTGTATATCTTGCCTTAGAGGTTCTAAATTTGTTCATCTTTCCTGGATAAAGAAATTGTTCCTGTAATTACACTGGTAATCAATCATAATTATGTCGCGTGATTTAGTGATGTCATTCTATAATGGCTGTTTTTGCTACAGGTTTCAAAACCTGCAGCGACTAGGGGTTTGGGTTTGGCAGGTCTCCATTGTTGTTTTTGTTTACAGACTTTGATTTTCCGAACTAGCCTAACATATGTAATTTTATTTCTGTAATTGTAATTTTATTTTTTTAATGTAATTTTATTTCTGATAAACGCTTTTCTCTTGCCTTAAAGGTATTTCAACGGAGACGTTTACCTTTTCTAAGTGTGTGAGTCTTGCCTGCATAAAGAAATTGTTTCTGCGTTTCTACTGGTAACAAATAAACATTATGTCACGTGATTTAGTGATATCATTTAATAATTACAGGTTTTAGAACGTGATGCAATTGGATGTTTAGGTAGAGCATGTCTCCATTTTGGTTTCATCGAACTAGACCAACCTAAGTTTGTAATTTTGATTCTGAGGAAATTCAGTCTCTTGTCTTAAAGGTATTTCAACTGAAAAATTTATCATTTCACAGTGTTTGAGTCTTGCCTGAGTAAAGAAATTGTTTCGGCGAATATATCAGTAACGAACAAATATTATGTCACGTGATTTAATGATGTCATTCTATAGTTGCTGTTGTTACTACAGGTTTCAAAACATGCAGCGACTGGGGGTTCTATAATAGCTGTTGTTACTACAGGTTTCAAAATATTCAGTGACTGGTGGATTGGGTTTGGGCAGGTCTCCATTTTTTTTTTTTCTTTTTAAAAAAATTTTATAACCGAACATAAGTGTAGATTTTTATTTCTGAGTGAAATTTTTTTTATTTTTCAAAAAAATAGTTAGGAAAATTGAAATACGATTTTTCGCTGGGTGGGTTCGTACGCAGGGTTGCTAGGATACATTGCAGCGCACTAACTTTTTGATCTATACGAGCTTAAGCGTAATTGTGTTAACATTTATCAAGTATATAAATTATATTCGCTATAAACCACTTATTAGAATATATTAGCTTTAGGGTTGATATGATGAAGCGATTTTTTAAGTTTAAGTTTGAAATAAAACAATAATAAACTATCGCCATCAACTCTAGTAGCAAGGAAGAGGGGCTAGAAACTATTTGCTATCGAAACCAAATTAAAAAATTTAGAATGAAACGTCAAAACTAAATTTAATATCGAAACTAACTTACGAAACTTATAAAATAAAAAAAAACTTATGATTAAAGAATAAATATGAATAAATAAATAAAACTTCGTTTAAAAAGATGAGTCAAGACTACAGCAGTTATCCATGTATGAATAAATAGAAAAAAAAGTCGGTGAAATTAAAAAAAACATATTTAAGTATAAAAACATTTTTAAATTTTTTATGTTTTTTATTTAATCAAGTTATACATGTATGAAAAAAACAAAACAAAGTCAAATTAAAAAAACAGATTTAACTATTAGACAAATTTATATTTTTTATGTTAATCTTTTTTAAGTAAAGTGTTAAATTCTAGTTATTTTTTATTATTAAACCTATGTTGATAAAGAAAAGCGAATACTCTGTCAAAAATGAGTGCATTATTGTTACAACAGTTTCCCATAAAAAAACATAATGCATCATCTACACACAACCAGACTAATTTCTCTACCAATAGCCTTGCAGCAAGCTAGGCTATTGGAAGACAAAGCAAAATATAAAATTTTAAGGTTTAGTCTACTTGGCTTCAACACCGTCCAAATAATAGTCCAAAGAAAAAAAAGAAATAATTTTAAAACTTCTTTTGACACGCCTCTTGAGCTGCTTTAAGAAGTTCTTTGAAAACTATTTTTAAAAATTATCTGCGATTAAAACTGACGTTTATTTTTTATTACAGACCAATCCATCTTACGTACTTGCTTGATTTTATAAGAGACTAGTGATGAGTTATAGTGTCAACATATGTTAATATGTCATAAAAGATATATCATAAAATGTTGTAATCGAGCGCAATGTTCGCAGTTCTAAATCTTCTTTTTTTCAGACTTTTTTTAATAATACATATTTGCTAAACAAATTATAAAATTTTTCTATTTATCTTTAGTTTATCAAGGTTTTGGGGGTAACAAAAAATTTTTTTAGGTAGTTAAACCTGTCATTAGTATTTTCAGATTTGTCTTGGTGTTTTAGATGTTAGCGTTTGTACCAAAACAATCTATCTTAACGAACCCAATTCTATTTATTTATTAAATACAAGTGTTTTTCACAAGCTCACAGACACTAATTATCAACAGAAACACACAAACACATCTGGGCTTACTTCATTATCTTATATGGCCTGAAAACGACTTGGACCTGAAAAAGGCTTGAGGTAGATAAAAGTTTTGAAAGTTTCAAGAAAATATTGATAGAAGGAGTAATGAAAAGTTTTAGTTAAGTTTTAGAAAAGTCTTAGTTATTATACTTTTAAGAGTACTTCACTAAACTTAGCGTAAAAAAACGACAACAACACTAACGTTGATATCAAACTTTATACTGAACATTAGCGCAACATTATTTTTCATTCTTAGAAACTTACCTTTATAAATTCTTAGAATTTTAATAATTCTTAGAAGTTTTGTAACGCTTAGAAACTTAATAATTCTAAGAAACCTAATAGTTCTTAGAAACATATTCTTACAAAACATGTCCGAAGTGAGTTTCTACAAAAATAACAGCTGCTGACAGCTGAGTTGGTGTTTACTTGAAGCTAATAATTTATTGTTTTATTTTAAAATATATTTATAATAAATCAGATAAATTAATATGAAAAAATATGCAAAACAGACGCGCAATATGAACAAACAAGTCACTGTTTGGGGGAGTAGGTGAACAAAGCACTCTTTGTGAGAATGAACAAACAAGTCTTAGCCTTATATTACATTGAAATTCACTGAATATTATCGCAACAGTTTGAAAACCTCTAAACAAGGTCGCAATAGAAAACCTCTAAATAAGGTCGAAAAATGATAAAAACATTGTTTTTCTTCTTATTAATGGTTGCCATAACTACAATGGCTTCAGGTATTTATTTTGCATTTCGCTACGGTGACATCACATATGTTATTTTAAACAAATAATTAAATGGTATAAAAAATGTAAAAATGAAATCAAACTGTTCCTGGATTTTTTATTTAGCTTGCTCAGACTATTCACAACAATGGTGTCAAGCAAATCAAGCATTGTGCACGCAGCCCTCGTTGATTGCTTTCATGAGTCAATATTGTGAACAAACATGCAACTACTGTAATTAAGTTTACCATTTAAACTTTTATCTTGAAATTTTGTTTTGAAAATGGTCGAATTTAAGCAAACATTAACAACAATATAAATGTTTAGAAACTGAACTTTTTCTAATTTATAATTTAGGTTCAATACCTGGTGTTCTTCCAGTAGGTAGGTCATTTTGTTTTCATGAACTAACAATAGTTTAACAGTATCATATACCGAAACCAGTGACAAATTAATTCGTTAACCAATTAAAGAAAATATCAAATCCGAATATTTTACTATTTGGCTTTGACATTTTTTGTAGTTGTTGTTATACACAATTTATAAACAAATTGATAGTTTTGTATGAAGTAAAAAAAAATGAAAACACATGTCGATAAGTTATTGAAAGTACGGAAAACTTGCGGAACTTTACGGAACAGTCATTAACATCGCATTAATGTTGCGTTATTGAAAAACTTTTTTTTTTTCTATATCTTAAAATAATAAAAGAGTACCTAATTTTATGATGATTAAAAATATTACGGATTAAATATTAAAAAAAGAAAGGTTGTTAAAATTAGTTTTAAAAACATTACTGGTTTAATGCCACCATATATAGTATTATGACGTGTAACTAAAATAAAAAAACGCTTTTATCACATGGGTTCCATGTGCGTTCTGTGTGGGATACACGGAAACCTACATGGAACCCATGTGGGACAAACGCTTTCATTTTTACTCGGATAACGGACAACTTATGTAGACAAACACTACCTATAATTTTATAATCATGTTATATGTTGAAGCGTTAGTTTTTATAGTTGACATAAAAGTAATTGATAAACGTTCTTCATTTTGCGAATAAATTTGTTTGGTGCACTATGTTTAATTAAAGAGTTTTTTTTAGGGTGCGGAAAACCATCAATTCAAAGTAGTCGTGTAATTGCAGGAACAACTCCAACAAAAGGCTCGTGGCCTTGGCAAGTATTGCTTTGGCAGGGAGGAAAAGCATTTTGTGGAGGAACACTCATTCACAGAGAATGGGTTCTCACTGCTGCTCATTGTATACACGGAAAAGAATTCGAAGCGTCGCAAATATATACAAGGTAGGAGAAGTTCTGGTTTCTTTTTTAACGCTTCTACTTATCTCTCATATATTCGATATCTCTCTTTTATTTTCGTTAATAAGTTAACAATAAATATAATGAAGCGTTGTGTTGCTGTAGTCGCAGTTAATTTATTGTAGTAATTAAACTGATCTAGTTGTTAACTTAAGTATTGGAGAACACTAGAAGCTGTTACTTACTCATGCCCGGCGCACAGGGTGTGCGGTCCGGTTCTTCGAACAGGGCACACAATTAGATAGAGGCCCCTAAAGAAAAAAAAAAATTAATTTTGCAACTTCTCAAGCTCGCTGCTGCGACACGGGATTTGTGCGCACTGCATAGTTCCTTTATCAATTGCTCTATCAATAGATGTGTGGGGCCCGGGGCCAACCCAATTATAAAACTAAAATACATAATATTAAATTAGATTCGAACTAAAATAAATAATAGTAATTAGATTCAAAGAGTTGTTTGATGATTTTTTTTTCTTGAAACGCTACAAGAATTGCACTTTTCAAGTTAATATTTAATTTTATGCATTCAATGAAACTGATTTTTATATTTGTGTTGTTATTTTTAAAAGAAAAAGTTAATTGAGGTGGCCTTATTTTACAAACAGGCACAGGGTCTCTGGTATCTATGAGACGGCCCTATCATGATTGATAGAATAATAATAAATATAGAGTGTAATCAAGGTTGATAGTTAGCAGACTTACATAAAAAATCTCAATGTATAAGCAACAAAATGTTAAACGCACATCTATTAGAGTATGCACGTTTTGCTGAGCTTTTAAAGTATTAGTAAATCTTATTGATGTGTTTTTATTCCAATTAATAAATTCATATTTTTTAAAGTGAATTTTTTCAATAAACAATAAAACAAACGTTTTCAAGTTTCATTAAGTTTATACACTTTGCCGTCTTTCGCCGTTCTTTTTGTTGAATGTACTTTTTCTTTAACTTAAACTTAAATAAAAAAATTGAAAAGTTTATGAAACTTTAACATAAATCTTATGTTTTAGCATTTTAAAATTATTTGAATATAATTAGTAAAACAAAATATTTTAAGTTTTATTTTTGAATTTTCAATTTCAATTTAAACTACAAAATTTTACTTTTCCTATTGAATTTTAGGACCGGAGAACACACTTTGAGTGTTAATGAAGGAACGGAAGAAGATATTCCAGCATTAAAAATCATAAAACATAGAGGTTACAATCCACAAACGCTTGACAATGACATAGCACTTATTAAATTATCACGACCTTGTAGGCTGAGTAGTTACGTCAGCACTGCTTGTTTACCTACTGTTGAAGCTGCACCGGGGACTACATGTTTTATCACAGGTATACCAATTTTAATAAACTCTTGCTATTTTTTATTTTATTTCGAATGCATGTGAAACCTCATGATCAATTTAAAGACTTAAAAATAAATACTACTTGTCACAATTTTACAATTGAGGCCTTTAATTTTTGTTTGATTTGGTCAAATGATCAACCGCGGATTCACATTGACAGCCGCGCTCACATTTACTAACTATATGATCACATATTTTTAGGGTCGCATGATGTGAAAGACTATCTAAAGGTATATCAACTCAAATCAATTTTAACTTTATAAATATATTTTAGGATGGGGTAAAATAAGTCATCCTGGAAGTATGACAAACGTCTTACAGCAAGCAAAAATGAATGTTGTTAACCATCAAACGTGTGAAAATTTGAACAGAAGAACAATACCAGTTTCTATAACAAAAGGAATGCTTTGCGCTGGTGACGGTGGAGCAACTCAAATTTCTGGTTGCCATGGCGATAGCGGTGGTCCATTAGTTTGCAACAGTGGCGGTAAATGGCAGGTTTATGGAGCTGTTAGTCATGGATCTGGCGATTGCCGATCAGACAAAACTTACACCGTCTTTGCAAATGTTGTTTATTTTAGATCGTGGATAGATAATGCAATGTTACAATAATTTGAAATTTTTAAAAACAAAGTTATAAAAGTAAAATATTGTAGTTTTTTCTAGCGATTTCTTTTTTAAAATCTAAAAAAATAACATTGCAAATATTTTTATTTTGTAAATATTTTTTTGTTTGTTTTTGTTACTCCATTGAGTTGGTAACTAAGAATGAAAATAAACTCTTTAAATTATTTCACGGTTAAAAAGAGCGGAAACGTTTCTCTAAAAACTATTTGTAATAATATAAGAAAATTGTAATATTAAAAAACGTGATAAAGCAACCATCAAGAAAAGTATTTAAGAGGTTAAATGAAAGAGGGTGGTAGCGAAAGAGTGGTAATGAAGCGGTTTGTTAAATAATTTTTAAACAAAAGGGAATTTTTTTTTTTAAACTAGTGATTTTTATGAAAAAAAAAAAAAATTAATAAAGGAGAAAGCATTAATAAAGGAGACAAACACTGATTCGAACTTTCAAAAATTCATACTTAAATATGAATTTTCTACTATTTGTGCTATATAGTTAATAATTATACAAGAATTATTAGTGTCGGCATTGGCCATTCTAGCCAGCCGGTGTATCATCATATTAATTAAGACAAGAACAACCATTGAACTTAATTGGTATGTAAGGCGATTGAAACGTCAAGGTGCACAGTTCCTGGCCGAAACAACTTAGTTGCTTTGTAGTATGAATGAAATTGCAAATGATAAATTTCACGTCCTTAGAAGAGAGTTCTCATGCCTTGGAGTACTTTATCGACTAGGTTTCTCATTACGTACAAATGAATCTTGGCTGAAATTGAAATAGATCCTGCGATTATCTAGGCTACAATTTGCCATTAGTGTCACATCATATTTAGTACCTAAAATAAGTGTTGAATTTAAATCCTAAGAAAATTCTGTCTTACGCCATAAAGTTATTATTAACTGAGGAGTTTATCATTTCTGAGTTAGTGAGTCTTGACTAAATCAAGAAAAAGTTCAGGCGGTAATACTGGCAATATATAATAAAGAAAATGACACGTGATTTAGTGATGTCGCTCTATGATGGCTGTTATCAATCTATAATGGCTTTTGTGAATAGAAGGTCCTACAGAACATGCAGAGATTGGGGATTTTGGTTAGACAGGTCTCCGTCATAGTTTTTATTTGACAATTTTGTTTTCTTGAACTAGCCTGATATATATATATAGAATTATAATTCTGGGCAATTTCTGTCTATTTCTTAAAGGTAATTTAACTAAAAAGTATATCATTTCTGAATTGTAAGATCTAGCCTGGGTAAAAATATTGTTTCGGCAATTATACTGGTAATAAAAAGATATTATGTCACGTGATCTAGTGATGTCATTCTATAATAGCTCTTTTTACTACACGTTTAAGAACATGGAGCGAATGAGGGTTTGGTTTGGGCAGGTCTCTGTTGTCGTTTTAATTTTAAGATAACTTTTTGATTTCTTGAAATAGCCTAAAATAAATGTAGAATATATAGAATATATATAGAATATATATAGTTCCTGCGATTACATTGGAAATCAATAAAATATAGGTCACGTGATTTAGTGATATCATTCTATAATGGCTGTTTTTGCTACAGGTTTCAAAAAATGCAGTAGCTGGGGGTTTAGTTTGTGCAGGTCTCTATTGTTCTTTGGTTTGGGCAGGTCTCTAAACTTCTACACGATTTTTTTTGTATAAGCAACTCGTTTATAAGCAAGTGAACTCGATGTGAAAAAATATTAAGCAACTTCAGTTCTAAACAAATGTTAACATAAGCAACTCATAAATTGCAATTTTTTTCTCTGCAATCTAATGACTTCTTTTAGATTAACGATTTCAAAAGATAGTAATCACAGTAGTGTTGTTGTTGTGTATGTTATTGACAACGCTGTTAAGATCATGAGTAAGAGAAAGCAGACAAATTTGTTCAACTTTGGTTTTACCAAAAAGATTTGTCATCGTGGTTAGTTGGTAAATGTAGTACCGAAGGAAAAAGAAGATAAATTGTTTGAATGTATTGTTTGCAAAAAATCACTGAAAACATCACAAGCCTTTTCGATGCACAAGTTTTGATGTAAAAATAAGTTATCACATACGGATATTGCTCAAACTGACAAAGACCCGAAATCAATGAGCTTGCATCAAATCATTGATGGAAAGAACAAGTACAATAATATTGAAAAAACTGTGAAATCGGTTTTAGAGAAGCTTGTTACTGATGTTGAAGCTAATGAATTACCAATAATTGTTGACAAACGGAAGAGCTATACGTTGAAAGAAAAGGTTGATGCGCTAAATGACTTAAACAATGGTATGTTAAGTAGGGATGTAGCAAAAAAGTATAACGTTCATAAGAGTATGATTACGCGATTGAAATCAAAGAAAAAAGAAATCTACAACAAGTACAACGAAAAAAAGAAAAACGCGTTATTCAGGAAATGCCGAAGAGGCGACAAACACAAAGCTTTGTTTAACAAACTTTATGACAAATTTTCCGAAGCAAGAAAAAAGAGGATAAAGTTAACTTTGAGTGGTTGTATGTCCGAGCGAATCAAATTCATCTACAACAAAGCCCGAATGCTGACAGATTGCCAAAATCAATAGTCACTCATTTCTAAAGGAAAAATAAGATCCGCATGCTGTGTGTTCAACGTAAGCGCTAAGCTGACGTAAAGAAGCAAACCCCGATTCTGATGAAACGGCATTCAAATTTGAGAGAAAAGTTGATTAAGTTGATTAATTAAGTCTGGAAGTGGCAAACCCACCTACGATAAAAAAAATGGGGGCGTTTCCCACCGAAAAAGAGAATCAATGTAGATCAATTTCCACTCCCGTTTGTAGTCGAGAGCAAACGAACATACGAAATTCCAATGAGTAAGGGAAAGGAACAAAGAGATCATAGAGTATGGGTAGCTCAACCTGGCAGTGGGCTTGATAAGCGACAAGCTACCCTTCAAATATGTTTCAGTCCTGAAGGAATGGTGAAGCCGGCGTTGATTTTCAGAGGTAAGGGGAAAAGGATTAGTCAAGACGAAGTTTTAGCCTATGACACTGATGTAGATGTGTACTGGCAACCAAATGCATGGGCAGATACAGCGTTTTCCGTGAAATGGGTGAAGAACACTCTCTCCAATGCTGTTGCTAACCTGGATGAGTATGTTTTGTTTCGCGATAACCTGACAGCCCAAGTCAGTGATGAGTTTTTAAATGAAGTGCGACAACATAAAGGTATTGGCTGGTTTGGTGTTCCCAACGGGACACGTTTTTGGCAACCTGTTGATGCCGGTCCAGGAAAAGCATACAAAGAAATCGGTCCTATAAAGCATTCAAATCACATATTAAAGCAGAATAAAACATCTGGCTCGAAAATGATGAAAACATCGAACTCTGGCTTGGCAACGATGATCGGAAACTGTCGGCAAAAGATCGCCGCATTTTGATAACTCGTTGGGTCGGTGAAGCTTACCGTAAAACATCCAAAGACGAGAAATTTCTTTGTATGCTTTATAGGAGCTTTGCGAAAACAGGATGTCTTATCACGGCTGATAGTAGCGAGGACAATAAGATAAATCCTGAAGGCATGCCTGCTAATGTTGATCCACCCCCTGTTGACATTGATAACCTGGTGGAAATCACAGAGACTCCTATTCCAGACGAAGTAAAGGATAATCCTATTGATGTTTTGCCTGACGAATCAGACGGAGAAGACAAGGAACTAGATGGACGAGTAGAAAAATCAGACGGACAAGAAGACGAAGAAAGTGGAGGTGAAGAAAATAAAGATCCAGCAGAAGAGAGAAACATTTGTGATCTTTTTTTTATTAGAATTTAAGTGATTTTAGTTGTAAAGAGCACTCTTCTGTTAAAGACTTGATATTAATCCGTATTTTTTCTCTTATTTGTAAAAACACTGAAATTTAGGCTAAGAAACTTAAGCAACCATTAAGCAACTCGAGATATAGAAATTGGCTAAAAAATAAGCAGACCAAAATTCAAAGTTGCTTATACAAAAAAAATCGTGTATATCTTGCCTTAGAGGTTCTAAATTTGTTCATCTTTCCTGGATAAAGAAATTGTTCCTGTAATTACACTGGTAATCAATCATAATTATGTCGCGTGATTTAGTGATGTCATTCTATAATGGCTGTTTTTGCTACAGGTTTCAAAACCTGCAGCGACTAGGGGTTTGGGTTTGGCAGGTCTCCATTGTTGTTTTTGTTTACAGACTTTGATTTTCCGAACTAGCCTAACATATGTAATTTTATTTCTGTAATTGTAATTTTATTTTTTTAATGTAATTTTATTTCTGATAAACGCTTTTCTCTTGCCTTAAAGGTATTTCAACGGAGACGTTTACCTTTTCTAAGTGTGTGAGTCTTGCCTGCATAAAGAAATTGTTTCTGCGTTTCTACTGGTAACAAATAAACATTATGTCACGTGATTTAGTGATATCATTTAATAATTACAGGTTTTAGAACGTGATGCAATTGGATGTTTAGGTAGAGCATGTCTCCATTTTGGTTTCATCGAACTAGACCAACCTAAGTTTGTAATTTTGATTCTGAGGAAATTCAGTCTCTTGTCTTAAAGGTATTTCAACTGAAAAATTTATCATTTCACAGTGTTTGAGTCTTGCCTGAGTAAAGAAATTGTTTCGGCGAATATATCAGTAACGAACAAATATTATGTCACGTGATTTAATGATGTCATTCTATAGTTGCTGTTGTTACTACAGGTTTCAAAACATGCAGCGACTGGGGGTTCTATAATAGCTGTTGTTACTACAGGTTTCAAAATATTCAGTGACTGGTGGATTGGGTTTGGGCAGGTCTCCATTTTTTTTTTTTCTTTTTAAAAAAATTTTATAACCGAACATAAGTGTAGATTTTTATTTCTGAGTGAAATTTTTTTTATTTTTCAAAAAAATAGTTAGGAAAATTGAAATACGATTTTTCGCTGGGTGGGTTCGTACGCAGGGTCGCTAGGATACATTGCAGCGCACTAACTTTTTGATCTATACGAGCTTAAGCGTAATTGTGTTAACATTTATCAAGTATATAAATTATATTCGCTATAAACCACTTATTAGAATATATTAGCTTTAGGGTTGATATGATGAAGCGATTTTTTAAGTTTAAGTTTGAAATAAAACAATAATAAACTATCGCCATCAACTCTAGTAGCAAGGAAGAGGGGCTAGAAACTATTTGCTATCGAAACCAAATTAAAAAATTTAGAATGAAACGTCAAAACTAAATTTAATATCGAAACTAACTTACGAAACTTATAAAATAAAAAAAAACTTATGATTAAAGAATAAATATGAATAAATAAATAAAACTTCGTTTAAAAAGATGAGTCAAGACTACAGCAGTTATCCATGTATGAATAAATAGAAAAAAAAGTCGGTGAAATTAAAAAAAACATATTTAAGTATAAAAACATTTTTAAATTTTTTATGTTTTTTATTTAATCAAGTTATACATGTATGAAAAAAACAAAACAAAGTCAAATTAAAAAAACAGATTTAACTATTAGACAAATTTATATTTTTTATGTTAATCTTTTTTAAGTAAAGTGTTAAATTCTAGTTATTTTTTATTATTAAACCTATGTTGATAAAGAAAAGCGAATACTCTGTCAAAAATGAGTGCATTATTGTTACAACAGTTTCCCATAAAAAAACATAATGCATCATCTACACACAACCAGACTAATTTCTCTACCAATAGCCTTGCAGCAAGCTAGGCTATTGGAAGACAAAGCAAAATATAAAATTTTAAGGTTTAGTCTACTTGGCTTCAACACCGTCCAAATAATAGTCCAAAGAAAAAAAAGAAATAATTTTAAAACTTCTTTTGACACGCCTCTTGAGCTGCTTTAAGAAGTTCTTTGAAAACTATTTTTAAAAATTATCTGCGATTAAAACTGACGTTTATTTTTTATTACAGACCAATCCATCTTACGTACTTGCTTGATTTTATAAGAGACTAGTGATGAGTTATAGTGTCAACATATGTTAATATGTCATAAAAGATATATCATAAAATGTTGTAATCGAGCGCAATGTTCGCAGTTCTAAATCTTCTTTTTTTCAGACTTTTTTTAATAATACATATTTGCTAAACAAATTATAAAATTTTTCTATTTATCTTTAGTTTATCAAGGTTTTGGGGGTAACAAAAAATTTTTTTAGGTAGTTAAACCTGTCATTAGTATTTTCAGATTTGTCTTGGTGTTTTAGATGTTAGCGTTTGTACCAAAACAATCTATCTTAACGAACCCAATTCTATTTATTTATTAAATACAAGTGTTTTTCACAAGCTCACAGACACTAATTATCAACAGAAACACACAAACACATCTGGGCTTACTTCATTATCTTATATGGCCTGAAAACGACTTGGACCTGAAAAAGGCTTGAGGTAGATAAAAGTTTTGAAAGTTTCAAGAAAATATTGATAGAAGGAGTAATGAAAAGTTTTAGTTAAGTTTTAGAAAAGTCTTAGTTATTATACTTTTAAGAGTACTTCACTAAACTTAGCGTAAAAAAACGACAACAACACTAACGTTGATATCAAACTTTATACTGAACATTAGCGCAACATTATTTTTCATTCTTAGAAACTTACCTTTATAAATTCTTAGAATTTTAATAATTCTTAGAAGTTTTGTAACGCTTAGAAACTTAATAATTCTAAGAAACCTAATAGTTCTTAGAAACATATTCTTACAAAACATGTCCGAAGTGAGTTTCTACAAAAATAACAGCTGCTGACAGCTGAGTTGGTGTTTACTTGAAGCTAATAATTTATTGTTTTATTTTAAAATATATTTATAATAAATCAGATAAATTAATATGAAAAAATATGCAAAACAGACGCGCAATATGAACAAACAAGTCACTGTTTGGGGGAGTAGGTGAACAAAGCACTCTTTGTGAGAATGAACAAACAAGTCTTAGCCTTATATTACATTGAAATTCACTGAATATTATCGCAACAGTTTGAAAACCTCTAAACAAGGTCGCAATAGAAAACCTCTAAATAAGGTCGAAAAATGATAAAAACATTGTTTTTCTTCTTATTAATGGTTGCCATAACTACAATGGCTTCAGGTATTTATTTTGCATTTCGCTACGGTGACATCACATATGTTATTTTAAACAAATAATTAAATGGTATAAAAAATGTAAAAATGAAATCAAACTGTTCCTGGATTTTTTATTTAGCTTGCTCAGACTATTCACAACAATGGTGTCAAGCAAATCAAGCATTGTGCACGCAGCCCTCGTTGATTGCTTTCATGAGTCAATATTGTGAACAAACATGCAACTACTGTAATTAAGTTTACCATTTAAACTTTTATCTTGAAATTTTGTTTTGAAAATGGTCGAATTTAAGCAAACATT